TTCATTTTCAACCCAGTGTTGAGGTGATTTTGACCAAGAGATTTCGTCATTTTAACCCAAAACTTGGGCTTAAAATGCAACCCAGCACGTTGGGTTAAGCCCTTAACCCAACCTTGCTGGATTGAAACAACCAAAGCTGGGTTAGTCCATATTTGACCCAGCACTGGGTTGGGAAATGACCCATGTTGGGTTGTTTTTAACCCATCAGTTTTTAGAGTGTATATAATAAAAAAATCATCTAATCCTTACAAGGTAGTAATCATTTTCTGTTTGACTTGACATGTTTTGCACCTGCTTTCCGCTCGTAGGAGTGGTGTTTTTTTTAGGTGTGGCTGGGTGCGTTGTTGGTGCCTTGCTATTTTAAGGCAGCGAAATGACAGTGCACTTTTGACCAACAAAAACCATGTAGAAAGATCTAACAACGGTTATGGAAAATGGCAGTGAACTTCTGATAAATTTAGAATGACTATCACCGATCAGTGGATAATTTAAGTGGCATAAGTAAAGAACAAAAAAAATCTTTCATATTAATTTTCAGCATTAAGCATGCCTCGGCTGGATTGCCGAAAATGCATTTCAGATAGTTACATAAGTCAGGTGGAATATTACAATACAGCCTTCAGAAGGTTGCAACATTCATTGTAGCATGTTGTGTAACATTGCCATGTGTGATGTTGGACATAAATGAGGACAAATTCGAGAACTTTAGAAGGTATAATGCTGAAATGCATTTGCCAATGCCAACAAAGGAGAGTACGCCGGCAGCACCACGAGAAAGGAGGGATATGCTGGCAGAAGAGCTGAATCGTCTGTAGCATGGTAAGGAATCTAAATTGAGATGTAGAAAAATAACAGCCTTATTGCCTTTTGTTTGAACATTTTTAAACACCTTAAAAACTGTAGGTTATATTTTGTTTGTACAAAGATTATACTTTTTGTATCTTGCGAACTGCAGAACCAAAATTAAAACAGAAAAAAAGCATAATTTAGTCCCCGTTCCCAGCTGCTGCTCTCCTTCAGCAGCAAGCTTCGGTTTCCCCGTCTTCTGACATCATAACACTTTCGGCACTGCATGGAAGAAACCGAGGACACACTCGTGCTGGCTCATCCTATGCCTGCTTCACCTCGAAAGGCTTTGGTGCAAGAGTGGTGTCCCATTCAATGATGTGCTCTCGCATTTTCACCCCGTGCAAAAGCAGATCCATTTACTCAGGCAAAAAGCAATGTTTGCCAGGCAAATGCACCATTGTAATATCAATTCACCATAGATCATGTGCTGCTCCCTTTTATAGGTGAGGTATTGTGCCATTTCAATTGGTTCATTTTATGTTTTGCCCAAAACATGCTTCTGAATAATCAAGACCTAACAAACTAATCTGCAGGAAATTAAGAACTTGTCTTTTGTTCTCCTTTGAAAAGCCTCAAATATGAAATTAAATTGTGATTTTAAAAACTCTTGGAATGAGGGACAGGTGGACAGACCAAAAACAATTATTGTGACTATCAGATAGGTGAGGCTATCCTGACAGACAACCAATTGGCGCCTCCAGAAAATTTTCATAGGGGAGGCCAGATGGGCCAAAACCAAAAGCCGAGCTGAATTTCAGGAATTCTGTTATGCTGTCGTAGTATATAGCTAGTTGAAAACTATGAGAAAGATTTAAGGGATCGCCTACTGATATACTTTGGTTTCTTGTGTTACATTTAATGTCCCAGTGATCACAAGTGCATAGATTTACAATTACATTGTACAATTAACATTTTGAGTTCCACAATAATCCTGTTTTAATGTGTTTTATGTATATGTGTTATTCAATTAATTGTTTTGTTACTGGGAACAAGCTTAACCAAGTTTAAAAACACCACACTAGTCTCCAATTATTTTCAATACAGCTTTGAATTATTTGATTGTTGCTGCATCTTTATGTACACTAAAATGTTACATATAATATTCCAAAAAATGAAAAAAATTTAAAAAAAGGCATTACATGTACATTTGTATATTTTATTATGGTCCACCGGCAAACAAACTGAAATACAGTAATCGAGTACAGGCTATACACTCAATACAGTTTTATTCGCCTGTTGCTGTGCTTTTTTGCAAACAAATCTACAAAGTCATCAAGATTTATGGCCCAAGCCCTTCTTGACTCCACACTTAGCACCCCCAAATTACTCAATCGCTCATCAGTAGGCAGAGTCTTTACTCTGAGAGTATTCCAGCCATTTATGTGTGTTATACCAGTCTTTAGAGAAGCACCGTCTTCTGTCCCCTTGATAGGTT